ACCTTTTTTCTGGGGGGCCCCCCCCCCCCCCCCCCCCCCCGAAACATGGTGCTTTTGGCGACCTCAGAGAAGCATTCTCGCTTGTGGAGCTACGCGCGACCGTGCATCACCTCGGTGACATCGTCGCTGCCGGCGCCGAGGCGGGTGGTTCCGAAGACGGCTCGAGCGACTCGGGCATGGGCGACTTCGCCGACTACGGTATGCACGGCGCGGCCGGGCGCGGCGGCGGTGGTGGGAAGGCGGGCGGGCGTTGGGACGGGAGCGAGGACGACAGCGGGGATTGGGGGGTAGAGTACACGTGGTCCGCGCAGGGGGGGGCGGGGAGGCACCAGGCTCCGACGTTGGTGGATCGCATGCCCCAGGCTATCTGCACCAACTACCTGCGGGTGAGTGCTCGGCATAGAGCAAGAACGGACAAAGCGGTTGGGCTGCGGGGATTCGATTTTGTCGTGGGTGCAGCAGGAGCGGTTACTGATGTTGGTTGGTTTTCGTGGTCTCGTGACGTGGGCGACATGGTCTTGTGCCGATCTGCCACTACGAGGCGTTTCGCTTCTGGCACCGTTTGCTCATGATACCTGGGTTATTGATTCGGTTGACGCTAGTGGTCCTTACGCAACACAGCCCAGGCTTCATCCGTCCCTGACCCTCTTTTCTCTGCTGGCTGCTCATCCAGGTCTACGCACGCGCCGTGCGCGGAGGGAGCGACAGATCTGGGGGCCCCGGGAGTAGCGGGGGGCACGGTCGTGGGGGCACGGACGGCTTCCGCGGCGGCGCTAGAAGCCCCGGGCTCCCGAGCCCCAACACGCTGTTGCTCCGGAGCCTGAGCTCGTCGTCGGCCATCTCGCGGGTTTCCTCTCACTTCTCCCACTTCAACTCCAACGTCACTCCCGTGGAGCTGCAGCTGCCGGCCACCTTCCGGAGGCGGGGCAACGGCGCGGACGGAGAAGAAGCGGCGCGCGCGTTTGGCGCGGGCGGGGCAAGGGACGGCCGGGACTCGAGCGGCGCGCTGGACGCGCGCGCGGCACGCGCCAAGTACCTCCCGACGGCGGGAGACGCCGGGGGAGGAGGGGCGGCGGCTGCGGAGAACGCCGCTCCCGTCGCGAAGAGCAAGCCGCAGTGGGGGTGGGGCGCGGGGAAGTCTCTGTTCGGGAAGAGGGCTGCCGTGGAGGTAAAGCGGAGTGGCGTCGCGGAACCGGAGGCTCAGGCGGTCGGCGGCGGCGGCGGCCACCCGAGTGCTTCGGCCACAAACGGCAGGAAGTCGAGCACCGCAGCGGCCGCGGCGGCGGCAGGAGGGGCAGCCCAGGGCGCCTCTAACGCTGCCAAGGCCGGGGACACCGCGACCACCACCACCAAGGGCCAGACGGGAGGCCGCCGGCTGGCGACCGACATCGGTGGCACGTACCGAGAGCCCGGGGGCGAAAGGGGGCGCGGGACGCGGTCAGCCGCGGAGCAGCGGTCGGGCCTGGACCGGAACGATCGCAGAGATGGGGGACCGGGGGGGGGGGCGCGCTTGCCCGACAGGCGGACGCGGCAGAGCCGGTCCGTCGACTCGCCGGGCAGGGGGGCGAAAGGGGTGCCGGCGACGGTGGACGCGGCGGTCGAGGCAGCGCACGGGTTCTTCTCCGTCCCCGCGGCGTCGCACGCTGCCGACTCGCGCGATGGGGGCGGCGGCAGCGGCGGCGCTGGCGCTGGCAAGCCGCTCCAGCGGCAGCAGAGGGAGCGGTCCGCGAGCGCGGAGAACGAGGAGGGCGCGCGGCACGGCCGCAGGGTGGAGCGAGAGCACCGCTTCGATTCCTCCTCCTCCGCTGCTGCTGCCGCCGCCGCTGCTGCCCTTGCTGCCGAGAAGAGGCAGGACGGGGAAGGCGGTAGCCGGGGCAGGGACCGGGGTGAGGGAGGAGAGACGCGGTCGGACGCCAGGAAGCGCCGGTCGCGCGCCCCGGCCGGGACGAGGCGAGAGCGCGAGTCCTCCCTGCGGCCGACGAGGCCCGCCGTCCGAACGCGGACCCTCAGCGAGGACCGGCTGTCTTGGAGGGACGAGGGCAAGCAGTGGAGTGACCTGGCGAACCCTAACCCTCGGCCGCCCTTGCCCCACCCGTTTCATGCGCCGGACGCGGTGGGCGCGCCCGCTGCCGCCCCGGGGGGGGGAGGGGCGAGGCGCACGGGGGGTGGCAGCGGTGGAGTCTCCGCCGCGTCTCCCCCGGACTCGAGCAATGGCACGAGCGACGAGAAGAGCCGCGCGAGCCGTGGCATGATGGACGACAACTCTTCGAGCGCGGGGTGGGGCAACAGCAGCCTCGCCGGCTGGGGGGAGAGCATGGCCGCCGAGGCAGAGGCCGAGGTCTTGGGGCGCAGCGGCCACCGCGGGAGCGGCACCGGGGCGGCCGGCGGCGGCGGGAAGGGGGGCGACGGCAGGGCCGAGGACGGGGTGCCGGTGGACCCGACGCTGCGCGGGCAGCCGGAACGGACGAGGCTACACCAGATGGTGGCGGCGCTGACGGACCTGTGCATGTACTTGGTCGGCGTGAGCCCCCTGAGCATGGAGGACTGCCCGACCATGCTGGAGCACTTGCCTAACGACGACGACGACTGGGACGAGGTGGGCGGGAGGAGGAAGTCGTGGGTCTTTGGCGTAGGTAGTGTACGTCGGTAGGCGTGTTGCATACATGGCGCTGCCTGTCGTGTCCTGGTGTCTTCCGAGAAGAGAGCCAGCGGTGTGGATACCCGGAATGGTATACTAGAAAGTCGAAAGATGCGATATATTGTTTAACCACTGCTGTGCTCGTCATCAAAACAGCAGCAGAAGGAACTCACTGGCAATGAGAAGTTTCTTGCCTCATTTTCTGATTTGCGTCGCTTGCTCCGACACCTGCCGTCGCTCGTGTGTACATGCAGGACGATACGTTCGACGACAGCAGCATTTTCAGCTACGGTAGCACGGGTAGTGCTACCACGAACGGCGGCAGCGGGGGCCGGCTGCCGTCCTCGCCTTCTACTCTCGATGCGACGGAGCAGTCGGACGACGACGAGGACGATGACGAGTTGCAGGGCCGCTGGGGGAACGACGGAGTCGTGGTCGGCGGAGGGGAGAAGCAGGATGCCAAGGTCGGCTGACGCAAGGGTTGGTTGGTTGATTTATTTTTGCCACGGTGGGGGCTATTGAGAGGTATCTAGATCGAGGATGTCGCAGGCAAAGTTCGTGGTACACACACGTACATCGTATGTACGGGCACTGCTTGCGTAGGAAGAGGGAGCTTGTGTTCTATTGGGTGTTGTTGCTGTCGGTCTGGATGGCGACAATATTTTTCGGCCATACGTAGACGACCTGGGCACTTGCGGGACCACCGAGCCGTACCGACTGTCAACCGAGCTTCCTCTTTTTCCGCTCTTCCGGCCTTTGTTGCTGCAGCGCGAGATGGTCGGTCCCACGGGCGACGTGGTCCACGTGACGGACATCCTCAAGGGCTGGAGAGACGACGAGGCCCCGCGGACGTCGTCCATGTCCGGAACGACCGGGAGCGGCCACTTCATCACTAGCGGCGGGGGGGGGCGTCGGCTCGGGAGCGGATGCACGTCGCGGAGCGGCAGGGGCGGCGGAAACAATAGCGGACGCGGCGGCTCCATGGCGGGCTGGAGCTCCAATGCCGGCACCGAGAGGCAGGGCGGGGGAGGCGGGGCCAAGGCGTCGATCGTGTCGGCCCTGGAGCGGGCCATGTCTCGCACGCACGGGGGCGGGGGGAGGATGGGGGACGGTACGACTCCACAGCCCCAGCGCGAGAAGAACAGGAGCGAGGAGCTGTTTGGGGCGCTGATGGGACAGGACGACCGCGGTGGGGGGAAAGGGGGGCACGGCGGAGTGGACGGGAGCGGGAGGGGTGGCGGCGGGGCCAAGGGGGAGGACGGGAAGAACGGCGAGGTGGATCTCGGCTTCTTGCACAGGTGCGCTCTCGAAACGAAAGTTCAAGACCAGAAGCGTCGCGTGTTGCGTGTATCGTTAGGCCCCCGTTTTTTTTTGTTTCTGGTCGAACTCATTGAGGTAGTGCAGCTGCTCGTGCGAAGCGAGTCCAATGGTGGAGTTCCATGAAAGCGTCGCGGTGTATTGGTTGTGGCGGGTTCTGTGAGGACGGACGGATAACGTGGCCGAGAGCCTGCGTGGTGAGGGAGACAGAATGGCTTCGTTTGGGTGGGAGAGGATGACAGCACCACGTCCGACCATTTGTTTGTATGTCGTGTCGATGGGATTCCTCTTTTTGCTTGCAGGAGCCTTGCCGAACCTGAGGATGCCGGCGCTTACCTGGAGCTGCTGCTACCGTCCTACAAGGCTCTGCCTGAGGATTGCATCCAGAAAGCCAGGTAGGTCAATGTTGATGATTTCCCGTGTCGACCAGTGGAAGTGGTAGGTGCAGAGTTGTCTACAGGCGGTTTGCAGTAGAGGCGTCCGTCGGGAAGGTCGGGTGCTTAGTTAAAGCTGTCGTTGTGACTTTTACCAGCAGCGGAGGGGGTCACACAAGCAGCTCGCCGAAGCTCCCTCCATGTTGTAGTATCTTTTTGAAGCTGCTCTCGATCTTTGTCACCGCCGGCGTGGCTTACTACACGCCGCTCGCCGCCATCGAACACAAAAAAACAAAAAAAACAATGTAGGGCGGCGTTTGCGATGGGGCTGCTGGCCACCAAGAAGGACGACTCGGAGCTGGCGGAGGCTTTGCACCTCGAGGCCGTCCTTGTGCTCGACAGGCTCCCAGAGGTAAGGACACACTTGCCTGTCTTGGCTTCGGGGTGCGCAACGCGTATAGGGTTTCAGGCCCACACGGGACTGATCGTTTGGAACGTTCGGCGATGACGTGTTTCGTGCGGAGCACTTGTGGCAACTACATGATTGCGGCAGTCTACCATGGGCTTTTCGTGTGCGGGTTGTAGTTTGTAGATTGTCACGGATGACAGCTTCGTGCATGGGCATCGAGTGCAGACCTGATCCTGCTGCGAGGCTGCGTTGGGTTCTGCGACGAAAGAACCTACCTACCGTCCGTCACTACAAGTCGTACTCAACCCCGTAATCTGACCGGACCTGTGGCTCCGTTGCTCTCTTCCTTGTGGTGCGCTTGGAATGAACGAACGAACGAACGAACAAACGAATGCCCGTGCAGGAGGATTCGGGTACCAGCCCGCTGATTACCCCCTTCGGGGTCCACTGCCTCGAGAAGCTCGGAGACGCTCTCCTCAAGAACGGTATGATAACTCCCTCACACCTCACGCCTTACTCTTTGGGCTCAGGCGAATGAGGCGTGGTGCGTGGAGCTACATGGCCTGCTGCTTAGGTCGACGAATCGTAGTAGTAAAGTTAGATTAGAGGGCTTTATTTGGGTTCGTGCTGGCGTCGAGTATTGTCGCCACCCTTCCGGGAAAACGTTGGCATACCCTACCCGCTGATACATGGTACGTCGGCCTGCCGCGCGCTTTCCGACCCCCCCTCCCCGCCGCCGCCGCCGCCGCCGCTGCAGCCAAGTATGAGTACGGCATTCTTGCTCTGGAGCGCGCCACGGAATGTTTCTGGGAGTGCAGCGGGCGAACGGCGCGGTATGACCGGCTCGTGCGCCGAGTCACGCGCATTACTCGGGAACACGGCGATACGAAGAGGTGCGCCGTGAACCGGTGTCGGTTCGGGGGAGTTGTGGTTGTTTCGGTCTTGCGTGGTTTATGTCTATTGTAGTACTTCGAAGTAGTATTACCCAGACCTGACTAGCATGGAGATTAACAAAGCACAGGTTGGCCGTTCAACAATGATGCACATGAATCATGGATTCGTATTTGTGGATAGAGATATGTTCGTTGTGTGGTTTTTGTGGGCAAAAAATTGAAAGTATGCACTGATGTATGCATATGTTTATCGTATCTTAAAACTGCCGGAGGCGTGTCGCGGTCCGTTCTTGTCTTTGGTAGTCTCGACTGTGCGCCCGTTACGTGGTGGTTTGGGAGGATAGTGCAAGGATGTTGGACGATATCTCTCCGTAAGATAGATCGGTTTGACAGGAGCTGCAACTCCGTGGGATAAAATTTCATCAGGGGATGAGTATTAATAGCCCCTCTCTAGAAGTGGCGCCGCTCCTCCTCCGTGCTCAGTTTACAAACGAGGGCAAGGCAACCTCAACCACTTCTGCTCCAAGAGATTTGATCAAACTATTGAATGTTCGTCAGGATCTTGAGGGATTGCAACGCGCGTACAAGGAACGTCGCTTCGTTTGGACTTCGATTTGTAAGGATGTTGCTCCGACGAATGCCATAAAAACGAGCTTCCTCGTTTGCAGCAGTAGCGGACACGGCCATCGAAGACGTTCGTCACCGGAGCGAGTTCCAGGAACGTGATTGTGCCGCCCGTGCACTGCAACGAATCATCCTTTCCCCTACACCACGAACTCTCGCCGGTGTCTTTTGACACACCCTTGATTGGTTTGTGTGTGCTCGCTGTTGCCGTCGTATTTTGTGTTGTGAATCGTGTGGTGTTTGTACATATCGTATCAGGGCGTTGATGTACCACTCTCGGATGCTGGAAGCCGCCAAGAAGATCGGTAACCTGAACGAGTTCGTCTACCTCGCCAAGGAGATCAGCCGCATGCTCAAGGAAGAGGTGACTGCACCCACCAGGGCGGCCGCCGCTGGTTTACCCATTCCTTGGCCTACACGCCGATCCGTACACTTCTTCCGTAGGGCCCTGTCTCATACCGTGTTTTTCCGCGTGAAGTGGTTAGTGGCGGTGTGCGGTTTGATGCAGCTCAAGATTGACCCCGAATGTTGAATCCCTTGCATGTTTCCATGGTTGCTGTGGCATGCGCTGGCCTGGCGTTTTGTAACCCAGGCGACATTGCGAATATTTTGAAAGCAAACTATGACACTTAGGCTCCGTTCACACTTACAGCATTCGAGTACAAATAGCTGTTTGTGCGTGTTTATGGTTATGCCAGGCTCCTCTTCCTCTTAAGGTCTTGGTATCTTACATTATATTTCGATTGCGTGCGCCGCGTCTGTCTGCTTGTTTCGTCTTGAGTGTCGGAACAGTTACTGTTGTTGGCGCTCGGCTGTTCATATTCGCTCTCACGTTGTGGTGTTCTGTGTGGGACTTTCGCTCTCTCTCCTCGCGTGTCTGTTTGATGCTTGTGTCTCGGTTGTGTAACAGGGGTGGTACTTGGAGGCGGAGTCGTACCTGGCGACTACATCTCGCCTGCTGTCCGGCCTGCGGCTGGACAAGGTCGTGCTGCGCCACCGCTCAGGTGGGCTAACCTCGGATGCGTGCATGTAGTTGCTAGCTGGCCGTGTCAGCTGCGTGATGGCCGCTGTGTGTGTGTTTTTTTTTTTTTTTTTAACGGCACTGGTGGGTTCGCTTCAGGCGCTCGTTCGTGGTATCATGCTGTTTGGAACTCGACGTGTTGCTGAAACCAATATGATCTGGCAAATCTAGTTTCACTGGACAGCTCCCAACTCTCTGAATGGAACGCCGCCGTAACAGTACAACGATAGGTGCAAAACAGCTGTTTGGGGCGTTTTCAAGCTTGACCACGCACACACGTGGTTATCCCCGCTTGGCCACCGCCGGTGTGATTGATACCCACTCTCTCTTTATGTGCATGGGGCTCAACTTTGGGGTGGGGTGTGTGTGTGTGTACTGCTGTACTGTTATTTCATGAACCCTCGCAGGTGGCACGACGTCGGGCACTCGACTTGACCAGCAGGACGGTGAGGGGAACGGCTGGAGGAAGACCTCGGGCCAAGAGGGAGGTATGAACACGCCTGATTGTCGTACATCTATCGCCGCGGACCCCCCAACGATCGTGCTCCCGCTGAACTCTTGGTGCTCCGTAGAGGATCAATCGAATCAGTTCATCGCGTAGTATTACCTCGGACGTGTGCGGTACCCCCCCGTGGACTCTCTCTTCTTTTTTTTTCTACTTGTCTGGCGTTTTTTTTTTTTGCGCGCGCACAGAGGACACAGCGGTCCTCCTTTTTTGAAGTCAATCCTTTTTGTCGCTCGCTGCCTGTTGGTGTGTATGTGTGGCGTTGCTTGTTGCTTGACAGGGGGGCCGCTCGACGGCAACGATCCTGGTCCCACGATGGTGCCCGTCCTCGAGCACGCCGGTGCCGGTCGGGGTGGGCACGGGTATGGCAGCGGTGCCGCTGGAAACCCCGGCGGTGCATTCGGCGGAGGCGGCGGTGGCGGTGGAGCAGGGGGGGCGCCAGGCGTAGCCGGCGTCCCCGTTTCCATGCCCAGTGACGGCCCGGCTGGGGGGGGCGGCGGCGGGGGCGACGCAGCATTGGGCGGTGGTGGTAACTCGGGTGGTGGTGGTGGTGGTGGCGGGGGCGGCGGGGGCGGCAGCGGCGGCGGGGGAGGCGGCGGGGGCGGGGGCATAGGGGACACGCCCGGCAGGTTTCGCGGGGAAGGGGGTGGTAACGCTGGTGCCGAGAACCTCAAGACGTTTGAGCCGGCGTTTGGGTATGGCGGCGGCGGTGGGGGCGGTGGCGGTAGTGGCGGGGGTGGAGGTTTGTCGCCGACGTTCATTGGGCCTGGCGGCGCCCACGGCGCGGGGGCGGGGATGCAGGGCACGGCTATCGAGACGCAGCAGTACGAGCTTCAGATGAGGATGGTGGAGATTCTTATGGAATCGCTCCAGTACACGAGGGCCCTCAGGTGGGGTGATGTTATTGGCGATGAGTGTGAGAAGTGAAAAATATTTGCTGTGGTTTGGAAATTATTTTTTTAGTGGCTCTCCAAGCGTCTACACAAAAGCGGTCAAGATCTCTAACCGGCCGCCAAAACCGCCACGCTTCTTTGACAATACATGGTCGAATCGTCGAATCGAGCTTTTTGGTGTCAGCTACTATTACGTACATGTATAGCAAGTCGAGCGACTTCGCCTTGTACATGTGCGTCGCGTGTGGACGCTTGTGGGGGCGCGTTTTTTGTTCGGGCAGGTACGGCGGGCGCGTCCGTCATTGACTTTCGCTTTTTGTGCACTGTACTTTCTAATCGGTAAGCTCTCTCTCGTGCGCGCGGGATTCTCGCCTGCCGTTCGTGCTGGCGGCCCGGCTGGTGCAGGCTTCTCAACAACCTCCTGAGAAGGAAGATCAAGTCCGGGCAGCGTTCCCTCGTCCTCGTCCTGGTGGCAAGATGCTACCTCAAGGTATGTATGTTGTATGGTCGACTCAACACGTTTTCCTTGTTCCACGATGGTTGGTCGCTTCGTGTATGATGGTGGTGGTTCAATTTTGGCATTTCTCTCTAGATGAGTGCGAGTGCGCCTCGTTTTGATTTTACGTCTTGGGAGGATGGAGGGTCTTGATCGACCGCGTGTGAATGCGGACGAAAGTCTCGTATTGATATTGCGGCAGCGTCATGCGTTGGGTACGACCTTTTCCGTCCTTGTCGATGCGTGTGTTTCCAGAGTGTTGGGGGTCGGGGATTGCTGTGAACGCCCACCCCTCTCCCGCGCGCCCTCCCACTTCCCTTCTTGTTTTCTGCCTCCCTTGGATTTCCGCTCGGCTATCTCGCCTTGACTCCTTCTCGCTTTCCCCTTCCAACTGCTCTGTTTGTTGTGTTGGGCCGGTCGATAGCTCCGCAAGGTGGCGGCCTGCGAGGCCGCTCTGGAGAGGGTTGTGCTAGAGGCTGACGAGGCGCTCGCGACTTACGGCCAAATGGGCCGAACAAGTTCGGACCAGGTAAAAAAAAAAGACCATGGTATGCATACGCACGTAGCGCCAGCGAAACATTGGTCCGGCGGTGTATGTACTTGTTTGGTAGGTGCGAGGTTTCGAGTCACTCTGCTGCCGCGGGACTCTCGAGTCTTTGGGATGAAGTTCCTTAAAGAGGGCCGCCGCTTTTTGCTGCCGATTAGTGCATGAATCTGCCGTTTAGTGCATGAATCTGGTGGTTCCTGTGAAGGTGAGTTCGCCATCTGTGTAAGTGTGGCGTCGGGTGTGTTGTTTCCCTGGATGGTGGGGGTGCGGTGGGTGTTGAGTGCCGCCGCTTGCTTGTGTCCCTGGCGTGCCACGGGCGCCTCGTTTCCTCACGTGTCCCCCCCCCCCCCCCGTTTAATTGCCTCTCTTGGTTTGTATGCTTCCAGGCGAGCCACAGGCGCACGACCTCCGGGGGGGGCAACGAATACCGTCTCAACAGCTCCGTCCTCGCCGCCAACGTCACCCCCATGCCGGGAGGGGGGGTCCCGTGGAAGGCGGGGGGGGGCTCCCGGGGCCCCGGAAAATCAAACCCCCGAAAAAAACCCTCCCTTTCCCGGGGCATTAACCGGGCGGGGGGCGGAAGGAATTGGGGCCGGGGCCGCCGGGGCGGCCGCCGCCGGGGGGGGTTTGCTGGGCTCCGGGGCGAAAAAAAAATCTAAAAAAAAGTCCCCCATGGGAAAAAAATTGAACTTTTTGGGCTCCCAACCAAGTGAAGCCCC